TCATCACAGTCTTTGAACAGTGAGGAATAGATTGTCTATAAATAGATATGAAGGTGGGCAGCAGTTCCTTCACATACACTTCTCACAGTCTAATACACTCATAGTAAAATTCCAGCAGCAGCATCCATCTCTTGCCTCAAAAGCAGACACTGTGGCTTTATACAGTATTCTGGAGATTTCCCAATCCACCACTTTATAGGCACTGAATAAATGTTAGAAGTTGTAGTGATTGCTTTAAAAAGTCAAAGAATATGTGATTTTTGTGATATTGTTGGTGATATTTTTTCCCTATTTTTGTGAAGAGAAAAATGGCATCAGATTTCCCTGGAACTGGAGTTATGGATGGTTGTTAGCCATGTGGGTGCTGGGAATCAAACCCAGGTCTTCTGCAGGAACAGCCATGATCTTAACCCCTGAAGCATCTCTCTGGTCCCTAAAATAGGTATTCTTTTTTTAAAAATTTATTTATTATTTTATGTGTATGAGTGTATCACCTGCATGTATGTGAGTGCACCTGTGTCGTGCAATGCTGCAGAGATCAGAAGAGGGCTTTGGATTCCCGGAACTGAAGTTAAGGATGGTTCGTAGCCACCATGTGGGTGCTGGGAATTGAACCTGGGTCCTCTTCAAGAGCAGTTGGTGCTCTTAACAGATGAGCCATCTTTCCAGCCCCTAAAGTAGGTATTCTTATAATAGGTCCTTTAAAAAATTTACTGTTATCCAGGCGTGGTGCACACCTGTAGTCCCAGCACTTGGGAGGCAGAGGCATGTGGATCTCTGTGAGTTCAAGGCCAGCCTGGTCTACATAGTGAGTTCCAGGACAGCTGGGGCTACAGGGAGACCCTGTCTCAAAAAAAAAAAAAAAAAAAAAAAAACCACCACCACCACCACCAACAAAAAAATTACTGTTGAAACCAGGTGTGGTAGCCCACACCTTTAATCCCAGCACTTGGGAGGCAGGTGCAGGCCCATCTCTAGGAGTTCAAGGCCAGCCTGGTCTACACAGCAAGTTTCAGGCCAGCCGGGGCTACACGGAAACAAAACAACAAACAAAACAAAACAACATTTACTGTCCTTGTCTTTTAGAGTTGCTCAAATTCCTGCTCAGTGAAGAAAGTAACAAAACAGAGAGCTGGATCTGGAACAGAGGGCAACAGCTCCACGGAATTCCCAGGGAATCACTTCCTCACTGCTGCTGTCCCAGAGCTCCCGCAGGAGAGTTAAGCCTGGGGTTCTTTTTCCCCTTCTGATCATCTGACTTAATGTGACCTTGGGAAAGTTGCCTGAAGCTCTACCCTGGGGAGATGTCACTGCTAGTAAAATTCTGAGGAATTTTCCTATCCCATCATTTTTGCCAGCACTCACAGCATGCATGCTAGACTTGTGCATATTGAAGTCTTTAGATTTGGGGCTGGAGGGATGGCTCAGCAGTTGAGAGCACTGGCTGCTCTTTCAGAGGACCTGGGTTTGGTTCCCAGCACCCATATGACTAAGACACATCCGTAACTCCATTTCCAGGGACTAATAACCAACTGCAACTACAGTTCCAGGAGATCTGACACCCCTTTCTGGCTCTGCAGGTATGCCATTGCTTGGATAGATGCATTTATGTGCAGGGAAAACACTCACACACAATTAATAATAAATCAACAAATCAATAAATGCCCGTAGCTTGGAAATGAACTAGAGAAGAAATAAGGCTAAAAGCATCTGTTGAGCATTTTGCTTCACCTTTGGTTACTATATGAGAAATTTGGTCATTTTCTTTGTAAGTGAAATTAGTGGACAGAGAAACTTAGTCCTTCCTTATGGCAAAAGATCAAGTGGTGTAAAGTTTTTAAAAATTGGAATGGCTAATATTAACATGGCTTAAAATGCAAAAACTGAAATCACATAAAGTAAAAAAATTCTCTTCAAAAATTGTTCTCTGCCTTTTTCTAGTAGTGTATTATATGTATATATGTATATAATATAATGTAAGTATACATAATTTCCTCTACTTAATGGAAATTGCAGATTACCACTAGATAATTCTTGTTTTTTGAGACAGGGTCTCCCTGTAGCCCCAGCTGTCCTGGAACTCACTATGTAGACCCTATGTAGACCAGGCTGGTCTTGAACTCACAGAGATCCGCCTGCCTCTGCCTCCCCAGTTCTGGGATTAAAGGCATGCACCACCACACCTAGCCTAAGGACTTTTTTTTTTTTTTTTTGGTCCTTGTTTTTGAGACAAGGTCTCCCTGTAGCCCCAGCTGTCCTGGAACTCACTATGTAGACCAGGCTGGCCTTGAACTCACAGAGATCCTCCTGCCTCTGCCTCCCAAGTGCTGGGACTACAGGCGTGTGCCACCATGCCCGGATAGATAATTCTTTTTGTATTAAAAACATGCACACAATGTATCTTGAGGGATCATTTCACAATAGTACAAAGACCTTTCTCATTCTTTTTTTAAAGTCTTCGCAGGATTTTATTTTATGGTTGTATCATGATACATAATTCCTTTAATCCCAGCACTCGGGAGGCAGAGGCAGGCAGATCTCTGTGAGTTCAAGGTCAGCCTGGTCTACATAGTGAATTTTAGAATAGTTGGGGCTACAGGGAGACCCTATCTCAAAAAAACCAAAAAAAAAAAATCATTTATTAATGAGTTCTTTTTTAATCAGCATTTGTTGTTTTTCTGTTTTTTATTATTCCTAGACATCATAAGACTGAAATAACCAAGTTAAACAAGTTTTTACATACATGCCATTTCTCCTGTCTATATAACATAAACTCTCACATGAGGCATGAGGATTTTTGGGTTCAAAGAATCTGTGTATTTATTTTCTGTTAGGTTTTGTGACTTGTGCTCCATGGAGGTCACTGTCACTGATACTCAATCTGCACTGTGACTGCCTGTCTTTACATCTACACACATGGTGGTTATCAAACGTCCTACATTTTGACAGCTTGCCAAATGAAAACATGATTTTTGATATAGTTTTAATTTTCATGTTTCTCACAGAGGGAAAAATATGCTCACTCTTCTTTAGGATCAAGGACTGATCCTAGATACTGTTCCTGGACTCCATAGCAGGTCAGTTTTAAAGTTCAGAGGTCAGGAACATGGAAAAGTGCCCAGAACCAAGAGGGAAAGAAAAGCCAGTAGGCTCTATTTCATGAATATTTGCCTGGATAGACTCTCTGATGATGTCCCTAGAAGATAACTTCTGTTTTTATGTGACTGCAATTAGAAGCTAAGTTTCAGATTTCCATAACCACAAAAATAGTTCTAATTACTTCACAGAGGGTGATTTTTGTTTTCTTTTCTCAATCTATCCCATAGAAAAATGAAGTAAAACTGGTTCTGTATTTATAGATAGAACTAAACCACACAATAAAACGGTGTGTGTGTGGGGATCATCTGGGTCATACTTGGGTTATAAAGATTAAATAATATGTTTAACACAAGAGGTCTTCTGCTTAGGAAGGAGGTATGCTGCTAATTAGCATAATTATGTCATGACTTGCCAGAAAAACATTAGTGGCTCTTCTGTTTTTGTTTTTTGTTTTGTTTTGTGTGTGCTTTTTGCACAAGGGAGAATCACCAAATGGAGTTTAATGCTGTGTCTCTTTAAAATTAGTCACATGCTTTTTTGTAATGTTAGAGATCGTTTTGGTCGCATGTGTTTTTACCGCAGGGACTTAAAAAAATAGTGAGAGGTGTTACATAATGGGTAAGGAGGAAAAAGAAAATTTGGAGTTGGGCTTGCTGGGTGTGTGCCTTGCCCTTCCTAGTTGTGTGACCTTGTGCAAGTCACTTGACCTCTCTGAGCTCCAATTTCCTCACTTGAAAAATGGAGATAATAATCTGACCTATTTACACCTGTGTCTTCCTGTAAGCAAATAATGGATCTTTGTACACGTGAAAACACTTAAAACCATAAACAGCAATGCATCTATTCATCTAATATTCACCACCCCTGAAATGCAGCATCTAGGCCCCCATCAAATGCTTTCAGCAATCCTAAACCAGGTAACTTTATATATTTATATAAACATAATAAATTAAAGGCTCTAGGTTGTCCGACATTTACTGATGCAGAATATTTTTATCTTTCACAGGCAGACTACCAATAATCTTTGGAAAAGCTTTGCATTAAAATATATCATATAGAGGAAAATATTTTATAGGCCTAAAAGACCTTTGAATGACGTTTTCTAATTTTACCCAAGAACGAGGACTTTGGGTTTAAAGTGGATTGGGCCTAGGATCCCTTCTCCGTGTTCCATTACCTTTTCACTTTTTTCTGAACCTCTTACCGCTTCGAGTGCTCATTTCTTTGATCTTTAATAGGTCCTTGCTAATAACCTGCTCTGGAGTCTGAAGACTATGCGAGAGCACAGGTCAGACCCAGTAAGAGCTATCACTGCGGGTTCCCTCCTTACTAGACTCCGCGCTGATAATTCTGAAACTTTTCCACCTCCCAACCCCAAAGCACCCCACCTCCCGCTGGAGGCCAGAGGGCGACCTAGAACACAGGCGGCGGGGGGTGGGAGGAGGAGGCAGTTCCTCCAGGTAGCGGGGTCTGCCTTGGGCCCCGGGCACTGGGCATCACAGGGCTTGGCCGGCCCTCTCTGACCCGAAAGCACCGGGGTGCGGTTCAGCCAGGGGCGCAGGCAGCAGGGTGGGCATCGCGTAGCACGTGGCAACAGGTGCAGTGTGGTCCCGGGCAGACGCGGGGGGGGGGGCGGGGTGCTTTGGGCGCGGGAGCCGCGGGAGATCGCAGGGGCCTGGCTGAAGTCTCGGGGCCCACGCTACAGACGCGCGCCTAGCAAGTTAGTTTTGGGGCGCCGCCCCCTCGGGGCCGCCTCTGGGGAGCCGCCGCGGGCTGGGCCAGGCCACCCAGCTCTGGGTCTCCGAGCTTCCCGGACTCCCCGCCCTCACTCCTCCCCCCTGGCGGCTGGGAGGTGGGGAGGCTAGGCATCCCCGGGCGGGTTCCCGTCCCGCAGCCGCCGCCGCCGGATGCTGGTGCGGGTCGGGGTCGAGCCGCGCCGCCCGGTGCACACGCCGCCCCGGTAGCTCCCGGGTTGCGCCCGCCGAGGGCGCCCTCCTCCAGCTTCGCGGTGTGGCTGCGGCTCCCAGGACCGAGCTGCTCTGGGCGCTGCGGGGGAGCGCGGTGGAGCCCATCCCGCCGTCCAACCCGGCCGTGGTGGGACTTCGGGAGAACTTGGAGCAAGGACGGAGACCGACACCCATTCACGGTGACCCGACTGGCTTTCGGGGGGCTGGCGGGTGCTTCAGGGGTTCAACAGGAGAGGAGGCAGCACTCACGTGGGGCCAGCGCAGGCCTCCGCAGGACAGACCCATGCGGATCTCGGAGCTGTCACCTTGACGGTGACCCGGGCGCTGGGCTTACAGTAGCTCGGAGACTGGCAGGTTGGCATCCTTTGCCGGAAGCTGCCCACCAGGCACTTGACCACCCCAGGGCCTTACAGCTGCAGGCGGCTTGCTGGAGCCAGTTCCCAGCTTATAGTCAGGGCAGAAAATGTGGGAGAAAAGAAATCGCTCTAGTTCCCTAGCTAGGTCCTCGCTACGCTGATTACTTGTGCTTTTCAAGCCCTATGGAAAAACCCACTGCAGTCACCTTAGGGGCTACTCGGTGGTGGACTTACTTAGAAGTTACTTTAGATCCTTTTGCCGTCCTCTGCTAGGTTCGTTTTTGATTTGTAATATATTACGAGAGTAATAATGAAGAATTTACTTTTTTTTTTCCCACTTAGCCTGCATAGTGGCACCTAGTCTGTAAAATACTATTTTTAAGTTAATGTTCTAAGCAAGGAAATTCCGTGCATTTGTTTGTCTAAAACCAGCATCTTAGGCTAAACAGGGGAAAAACAGCTTTCATGTTTTGCCAGGTGAATGGAGTTCAATCACGGTTATCAAATCGCAGCGCTGAGGGGGCGGTGGTGGGAGTGGATTCTGGGGAGTGAAAAAGAGGCGGGAGTCCTGCGCCCCACCAGACCTTCACTAGGCGTTTAAATAACCCAGACTACAGTATGGATCGCCCTAAAGGAGTTGCGTAATCGGAATTGCAGGTCTGTGGACAACTTTTCTCAGGGCTGAGAGCAGGAAATGGACTATTTAAAAGAAAATACCGTTTGTAAGGTACTTTATGGAGAAAAGCTTTATAGTTTTTTTTTCCTCAAGAACTCTATCCATAAGAAAAGTTATGCACCCCCACACCCCATTTTCTTACGCTGTAAAAAAAATAGGCATAGAATTTAGCTTAAAAATTTAGGGCGGGGCGTGGTGGCGCACGCCTTTAATCCCAGCACTCGGGAGGCAGAGGCAGGCGGATCTCTGTGAGTTCAAGGCCAGCCTGGTCTACATAGTGAGTTCCAGGACAGCTGGGGCTACAGGAAGACCTTGTCTCAAAAAGACAAAAAATAAATAAATAAAAAATAAAGCCGTGCCATGTGACACTCAATCTTAGCACACGGGAGGCAGAGACAGCAGTATTGCTGGGAGTTGGAGGCCAGCCTGATCTACATAGAGAGTTCCAGGCCAGCCATGGCTTCACAGTGACACTTTACCCCTACTCCCCAATTTTTAAAAATGTAATTTCTGTCAGTTTCCCCCACCTGTTCTTTCTGGGCTTTTTTTGCCTTGTGCTGTGAATGGATCCAAGGGCTTTGCATATGCCAAGCAAAAGCACCTGTTCCCTTAAAACCAGATTTTTGTGGAGAAAATAGTGTTTTTATTAATAATTCAGTGATAACTGGTAGTGTTTAATAGAATTGTGAAATTCTGGATAAATTTCATACAGTATTTCTTGGAAACTAAGGTGGAGTTCTTAGAATTCAACATTTAAGAAGTGTGTCACTTGGTAACCCTGCTTACTCTTATTTCAAAAGTTATGAATGGTTAATGTATACAATTTGGTACATTCAGAAAAGTGAAAAAAATTAAACAATTCCACAATTCACTTTTTTCTTTAACATTTGAAAATTTGCCCTTAGTATTAAGCCTTCAAAATCTCATTGTAGTGCTTAATATATTTAATGTTTAATATATTCTGTAGATGTATCCATTTAACTCTTATCTTGAAAGGTGAACTTTTCATCTCTAGTCACTGTTACTAAATATGTTCTTGCAACAGTTACCCTTTTTAAAACTTGGTCTGCAAATTGTTTCCTTAGGATTAAGTCCTTGGAATACAATTGGTGATTCGAAGGTTTCCTGATACTTTTTGACCATTTGCTTTCCAAAACTCTTCAATCAAAGTAAGTTTAGGAGCCCTCAGACTTCTCGTGTGATTATATTCTTGTTAACATGGATAATTATCCTTAAAAGGAAGTATTATTATCAGCTTTGCTATAAACAGTGCTCTCAGTATTTAAATTTTAATTTCTTTCATTACAAATGATATTGAGCACCCCCCAATCTATGTTTTCAGTTTCATTTCTTCTTGTTTGTTTTTTGTTTAGTTTTTTGTTTTTGAAACAGGGTCTCACTATGAAGCTCTGACTAGTCTGGAACTCTTTTAGACCAGGCTGGCCTTGAACACAGAGATCCTGCCTCTGCCTCCCGAGTGCTGGGATTAAAGGTATAAAATGCCACTCCCATCCTCATTTCTTTTTAATTCATTGTAGTACTAGATTTTTCTCTGGGATATTGGTGTTTTTCTGTTTATAAAACCCTTTTACAGGTTGTTACTAAACAGTCCAGTCCTACTGAAGATACTTTCCTCAATTTCTCTTTGCCTTATGGACAAATTTATAGTGTTGTTAACAGAAGTATGTTGTCAGTGTTGATGAACACATTGATCTCAAAACATAATTTTTAATATTTATAAATCATTGTTTAAGAACCATATGTGACTGTAGTAGATGTTTAAAATAATTTCTCCCTGAATTCTGAGTTAAGATTCTTTTAAATCTATTACAACTTCTGTGTCCTAGAGAAGACACTATTGCACAGTATTTTTGCATGTAGTAATGAGAAATTGCCAAGTGTGGTATATGCAATTAGGAACATTCTTGGAGCTGGAGAGATGGCTCAGCAGTTCATATTGCTCTTGCAGAGGACAGGAGTTCAGTTCCTAGCCATCACATCAGGCAACTCACAACTTCAGCTCCAAGGGATCCCTTTCTGGCCTCCATTGGTGTTACATAAAGATGCACTTACATTGCAGGCTAAACACTCATACACATAATTTCTTTTTTTAAAAAAAGAACAATATTGGGGCTGGATATATAGCTCAGCGGTTAAGAGCACTGACTGTTCTTGCAGAAGACCCAGGTTCCCATCCCAGCATCCACACGGCAGCTAACAACTGTCCATAACTCCAGTTCCAGGGGATCCGACAGCCTCTTCCATCCTCTTCAGGCATTGCACAACATAGGTGCACTTACATACATGCAGGCAATATATGCATATACATAAAAAAACGAATATCTTTTGAAATCAGAGAAGAACACTTTGGAGAAAGGTCACCTAAGTCTTAGGTGAGAGAGTCTTCTCAGTTCTTTGGGGCCTGTGGAACCCTGAAATGATGGATCACTCATCTGGACTTTGAAACACTCTATAGATATTTCCCCCTTGGAAATCCAGCAATTAGTCAAAGAATTGAATTAAACACAGGTATATAATGAAACTCTTGGGATGTATCAATAAGGTTGACATACCTAGTCTCTGTATACCCTAAAACTAAGAATCTGACAAAGACAGCATCTAAAGCCTATGGATTTTCTTGTGCTGTACTCTCCATCTGATGACCCTACCTATGTATCTTGCCAGTGTTAACAGAGTCGATAGAAAATTGTGCTTCTTAGTATTCTTGGAAAAACCTTTCAATTTGTTGGCTACCATTTTCAGTATGGTTGTATAGTCCACTGGACTTTTAAATGTGTTCATGGTGTTGTAATATAGTCTGTACTATATCAGTGGAGCCTAAAATTCAAAATTGAGAGATGTCTTTGCAGAAAACTTTAGTTAACACTTTTATGGTATCCAAAGAGGTGACATTGTGACTGCAAGAAGCCAGAGTGATCCAAAAATCTAGTATTTGTAAGAGGATTTGGATTGGAAAGAGACAAAGTCCTCATCATTAGCCTATATGATTTCTTTCAAAGCCATAGTTATGTGACAACGGGTTGTCTGTGTCTGGTTAGGTTACAAGTAGAGTCAGATGTGATGATGTACACCTGAAATCCTAGCACGTTGGCAGTAGATGCAGGAAAATCAAGAGTTCAAGGCTAGTGTCAGCTAGATAGAAAGATACTTCAGGATCTGTTTGGGATATTTGAGAATCTATCCAAAAAATAAAAGTAAGTCTACAGATTTCAGGTACAATGGACCTATTCTAAATGGACTGATCAGAAATGGACTGATCAGAGGACAAATCTTTCTGGTTTTTCCTCTAAGTGCTTTTGGATTTCTGTGTAACAACTCAAATGGTTACAGACTTTCTGATGATTCACAAATATTAGTTCTTCTGACTTGATTGTCTCCTGTGCAAGTGAATTTATTACTGAAATTGAAATCATGTATGTACCAATAAACTATTAGCTATACAAAAAAATAAGAACCAGAATTTACATCTCAGGGATTGAAAGTCTTTGAGATTTATGACTGTGGATTATACAAATCTGTTTAATAGTCCATTTGTAGTTTTCACCAGGTTTTGCTTTTTATATTAATTATTGTAGTTTTACACTGAATTGATGATACAAGTATTTTCCTGCTGTCCAAATTCATATATAGTTTGATTTTTCCAAAATGAATTTCTAACACTATTCATAGGTTAAGCTATTTGAAAGGGATGAAAAGCCCAGCCTTGAGCTATTTCTACTGTGCAAGCTTTTGTGTGCCCTATAGATTTTTAAAGGCCCCACTGAAGGGAGGCTCTTCTCCCTCAGAGTCTGAGTCCCTTTCTTTTGTTCTTTCCTTAGACTCTAGGGGTAAGTATGTGAGCTGAGAAGAAGTTGGTGTTAGGGTGTATGTTGAGGACAACTAGAGGTACCTACATACTCTCTCTGGAGGCAGGTGGGCCTAGGAAAACATAACACTCACCTGGCAGGTACTTGGGCACTGATAAAAGTATGACTCCAGAGAGAGAGCCCTGGCGACTGAGGATGTGTAATTATGATCTCAGCTAGTTAGGATGGTATGGCCTCAGCCTGAGATCTGGCTGATTTGAAAATCCTTTGACAAGAGGTCTCCATCCTTTGCTTAGGATGGTCCAATATAAATAAGGAAC